AATGTACAGTTTCCTGCGAAGCAGTTTGTAAGGTACCCTTCAAAGTAGCATCATAACAACAGATGGAATGCTTAAGAGAAGAATCATTCTGATTCAAGCAATACATCTTGGCAAAATAGCTGCACATTAATCAGGATTCAATTATATTACATTGGGCTTCAATAAGGTGTGGTTGACAACAGGAGTCACTAATAGCAATTCCAAGTTGCTGTAGGCCAACCCACAGGTCAATTTGACACGGTTTCAGTTACCAGTGGGAAGTTCAATTACAACCACATTAATTTAATATTCATATAGCGTCTTTCACTTCAGCAGGACATCTCAAACACGTCACAGAATGGGCAGAGAGGTCCAAACCAGTCAAGCAGCAGGAAAGCTTCCATTCCAACAAACATCTCCGGAATTTCCATGTGTAGGTGAGATGCATGGAATTCAGTTTGGTTTGGATACTCTTAAGCATGGTGATGGGTTTCCACATGTGTCAGACACCCCAAAAAAGAGGCATTCCTGAGGAGACGAGTAGCAGCTTAATAGTCCTTACATTTGATATACTGCTGCATCACTTAATCAAAATATTTCAAAGAACTTCACAGGGCTTACTGCAATGAGTGACGTTTGTAGTGTATTTTGTACTTAAATTATAAACTGCCTCCTAATAGACCCCATTGTTAACTATAATTTAGGTGAATATTTACTGCTTTTTTTTACAGTTGATTAATTGTTCATATTTTCTCAGTGCTAGCATTTCAAATAAATGGTTCAATTTAGGTCAAGGAGACCAATTCAATTACAATATTGTTGAGTTTTGATACCCCTACTTGGGTAGTGAATATTGTATTGTTTGTTTCACACTTGATCAATGAATGTTCAAGTACTTGTGACATTGATTTTTTTTCTGCATAATGTCTAAAATAAAAGTGACTTGAAAATAAGAAAAAGAAACTCAATTTGGTAATATGTATCCGAAGAATGGATGCTGCTGCAATTAAAATGGGTCAATCAATGGCGATTGATTCACCTTAAATGTGATTTATAAAACTGGAGAGCACAAGTACAACACATTAAATTGGATTGAAATTTAGTGGACATTTCCCTATTGAAGAATGAACATCTGTAACATCTGGAACACCTGTACCAAAACTTCTGATGTTACAAAACCCTTTTTCACCCTTAGCCTTGGGGGTCGTTTCTCAGCCAAATAAAACCTGTCTCCTTAAAATGATTGGCAAGAGCATGATGAAATTCCAAATTAAAAAGATACAAAAGAGTTATACTGAATAAGAATGTAAAAAAATACATATTTCTTTTTAAAAAAATGTAAAATTAAAGTTGAAATAAGTTCATGTAATAGTTTGCAACAACAACTTGCATGCATATAGCACCTTTCACATAGGGTAGCATCCCAATGCACTGAGTTTAGGGTAACTATGATAGTAATAAATCTATTCCTAACATTTGAGTAATTGTATTACTATGATATTACTTGTATTTCAGTGCCATAGTAAGTCAGTTGGAAACTTACCAAAGCATCAGGTTTGGGGAGACAGTTGTTTCATGGACCCTGATGAAAGTTTAAGGGTTAAAAAGGGGCAGTATAAATACATATTTAGTAATAAACCTGAAGTTTACAAGCATGTGGATAGACAGAGATGATCAAGTATTTTATGCAGCTGGTGTGAAGGAGCATGTCATCTGTGCAATGTCAGGTTCAGGATTGACTAATCTAAATTGTAATTAGATTAAAAGAATATTGCTCATTTCACCCTGTGAAGAAAGGTTCTGCAATGTTTCTGTTTCTACTCAAAAGTAAATCAAGCAGAAATCTACATTACCCATTTGACTTTACATCCTACATGATTCTTCCCTGAATGGTTGCCTTCCTTCGCATGATATGCAAGGCCTCAGCAGTTCAGAATCATTATTTTCTATGCAGCATTCAATCATTTGCACCTGTACATAATCCTTCATCTGAGCTCCCATTGATGTCCTAATAGGTAAAGGCATTGCCCAGTCAGGTCATACGACATACGCATGAGCAAATTGCAAGTTCTACTGAGTTACTTGATCTCACCTGGGGCAACAGTTGGAGCATTAAATTAGCACCACTGCCCGAGGTTAGACAGGGTGAAATCAGCCAGGAATCTGTTTCCAGTTGAAGTACATTACATTTATCTAATTAAAATCCTTCTGCTATCCCTTAGCTCATTCCTTTTTACTAATGCACACCCCCTTGAATAGAATTGAATAGAATCAATTCCACTTACACTGGCCATTTTCCCTCCTCTATAACATGTATGAATAGTGTGAACGGAAGGGGAAAATTTGTTTTCAAATCCCTTCATGCCCTGGTACCTCCCTACCTCTCCGACCTGCTTATGCCAGAAGCCACAACCTGCTGTCTTCGCTCAACAGGCTTTAACCTCCTGCTTGTGCCTCTAGCCCTCCGTTCCACCATAAGTGGCTGCACTTTCAGCCACGACATTTTGAAACTCTGGAACACTCTTCCTCTATCTCTCCACCTTGCCCCTGCTTCCTCATCTTCAGGTCATGCCTGAAGACCTTCCTCTTTGACCGTGCCTATGGTCGCCTCTTCCTCCCCCCAACTCGGTGTCATGCTCCGCCACTTTCAAGTGCTCTGGGACACTACTCTGCTTGAGGGGCGCTATATAAATGCAAGTTGTTGTTGTACATCCCAAAGAACTCTTACTAGCCTGAACCAAACAGAACTTGTATCCAGTTGATACTTTCTGCCTTCTATTGTCAAATAGCCTTTTCAAGTGGAAGCTATAAATTCTATGGCATTATTCGAAAAGTGAAGGAACTTTTTCTCCCAGTTTCCTGGCCAACAATCCTCCAAATTAAATTAATCATTCATTTCATGGTTGTTTATGAGACATTGTTGTCACCAAATGGCGGCCACGTTCGCCTACACAGTGATTCCACTTTATAGCATTGTGCTTTGATGTGTCCTCTTGATATTAAATCGCTATATAAATTGTAACAATTATCATCATTATTAAATATTATTATTATTAACAAATTGTTCAATTGATCAGACTATTATCATAGCTTCTGACTGGATCAGCAAACAATTTGCTTGCTGCATTCACTGGAGGTGACGCTGCACTGATTGAAAAATTATCTTTCGTCATTCCAATCTTATAAAGGGAAGATCGGTAAAGTAATCTACAAGCGAAAACTCCTCCTTATTTCTCAGGTTGGTAAATTTTCTGAGAGAGAATCACTCCCATTATGTTTAACCTATATTGAATTTTATTAATTTTGTTAATCCTGAATTGTCATCTGGAAAACAGTTATTTCAGAAAATCATATTTGGAGTCAGTAAGCAGTGACAATGTAATCATTGCAATGATTATAAAATGTATACATATCAAACATAACTTGACTATACCACCGTCCTTGTGTCACAACAATGAGCTTTCATGTCAAAAGCCATAACACTTAGTGAAGTTCTGAATTACATAGAACATCAGCAGATTTACAACCATACTAAAAAAGTCACTCTCATCGCAACTCCTTCTTTCGCAACAGAGAAACACAATTACAAAACAAGAGTAAGCAGCAAAAGTACTTTATAGGGAAGATCAGTAAATGCACCTATAAGTGATGAATGACTCCTCCTCTCCCCTGAGCTTGGTAAATTCACTGCTGGAGAATATTTACTATCATGCGTAAATTATAAAGAATTGAGTTGAAAATGGGGTATTTGTAACTGCTCTGATTCTGACTCCTGGTTGTGATTGCTGGTGCGTGTGTGTGGGGGTGGGGAGGGAATCTTTTGCTTTGGGCTACTTCCAGTGCCTTCGAGCGGCTACCCCAAATGAAGGGTGCTAAATGAATGCAAGTTGTTGTTGTTTCTCAGTTGAGAGAAGACCTGAAAAATCTGGCAAAAGTTCATAAAGGAAATCAATAGCCATAAAATAACCTTTTTGGAACAGCAATTTCCCCTCCTCCCCCAAAATATTTCAGTCAAATTGGTAGTGACATTAATTGCAAAACAGAATGAGCTATTTGTGCAGTGACTTCCAACTTTCGAACATCACATTTTCACTTCAATATCTAATTCCACACAGTGAATTTCAGGTAATAATCAATGTTGAGTTTGAATTAATACTCTCAGAGTCAGATTGGGTGGGCTTGGCTGCTAACTGAAAGTCATAACAAGGAGGGTGATACAAGCCAGACAAGCAGGGGGCAGTTTACAGCTTTAGATAGTCCAATTTCAGCAGTATCTAAATGCATAACTTGTGGTCCCTAATGACTTAGCTACTGCCAACCCACATCTATGTTCGTCAGGCACAGGCGTGTGCACTGAATAGCTAACCTATAATTTACTGAAGTGAATTGGCATCTTCTACATATTTTGTATGAAGTGTCCACTGCACTAATGTTGCCAATAATGGGAGTTAGTTCAAGATGCATGCGTCTGATTTTCTTCATTTACAGGAAGGTGAATTCACTACAAATTTCAACAGATTTTATCTATAAAGCAGCGAGTGTATGGATACTGAATAAGCTACTCCCCTCTCAATCTGAGGACTAATGACTAGTGTGAGTGGACATTTACTGAAAAAGTGAAATCAAATCAGCACTAAAGAATACAATGAATACTAAAAGCTGCATTTGCTCCTTTTAGAAGCACTCATGAAGGCTATTTGCTCCAGACAACACTTCTCAGCATCAGTTCACAAAGTGGATGTAAATGAAAACACAATCACGAAGGCTACACTCTCAGTATACTAATGTTTTTTTCTGCCATTCAAAACATCCATGCCCAGATTTTAACTTCCTGTCTTAAAAATTATTTGCTGTCTACATAAAAGTATGGGCTCGATTCTTTTGTGATTTGCCCTTTAACATCTGATGAACTACACACATGCGCAAATGCATTTCACTTTAAGTTGCTAAATCTTCAATTAAATCTGAGGTGAAGCAAAAATCAAACCGCCTTTATAGTTTTGACTAAAAACTGCACTTACCACAGAGAATTTCATTACTTTCAAGATCCATATGGTCAGTGCAAGATTGACAATCATTGTAACCATGAGGAGAAGGACAAAAAAGTACAGACACCGCTTCCGCCACCCATAAATTCCTACTTGAAAGACTTGCTGACTTTCAGGTCTCTGTAGGTTGTTATGCTGCGTTGCCAGAATATACTGTTCCCGTGTCATCTGCAAATGAAAACAACACCATTACTAAACTAAACGTCAACTCCTCAGCTAGCAGTGTAACTTCAAATCATATGTAGAATAATGATTGCTTGGGGGGGTTCAAGCCACAACGTCAATCAAGATGAAGTTACTGCGTAGGTGTGCAGGGCCATCAGCAATGACGTATATAATGGCACACATTCAAAATTGTAGAAAAATAATCTAGACATGATGATATAAGACACACATTTTACAAAGAAAAGACTCTTTTGGGAAATACAGATAGACAGATAGATAGATAGTTAGCTGTATATTGTAACAAAACTGTACAGTTGAGACCCCAGTGAAACCGAATCCTATTTAATTTTCTCACTGCTGAAAATAATTACATTCAGTCTGCTGTGATTTAAGATCAATGAGATTAATAATGAGATAAATCCCCTACTTCATACTCATCTGCTTCTAATTTGCAATCCAATAGTTTCTCTTAAATACAGAACTGGTTCACCCAGTTCTAAATCTTCATCTTTGGATTTTTAATGTGATGAGTTTTATTTTAAAATGTGAAGTAATAAAAGATGACATCTCAATATTGAATGTCCATGCTGTTTGGGTTATATTTGTTTTCTGTTTTACTTAAACATATTTTATTAACCGTGGTTTTCATTTCCACAAAACTGGATTTACATTTGATTTCAAGCAGTTTAGTGAAATTCAGCCGGTCAATGTGTTATCTCTATTGGCAATTATTCTTGTTCAGGATCAATTCTATACTGGAAAGTAGGAGATAAACATACTGTGAAAGGACTCAATTATTCATTGCAGTCCTCAATTATTTGGTAAACCACGGTCTAGTTGGCAACTGTGAATTTAGAAGAGTTTAACAATGTTTGACATGGATTTGTATTGAGAGTCACTGACCATCTTATCCAAGCACGACAAAAGAGCAATGCAAGGACTGGGGCACTAAAGCTGTCCATCAAAACTTGTAATTTATATGTGTCATGTTTTAATCTATACACTCACCATGTTTATGTCCATGTATATAATTTAAAATAATAATCCTTGCAGACTATGTAATATTTTTGAGTGTTAAAGCGCGCAAAATGGCAAAGTGATACAAAGGGATTTGTTGTCAATTAAACCAAACTACCAAGTGCAATTTTAATGGCTTTAGGTTCTGAATGGTACCATTCTCACAGTATATATCCAGTAGATATAATAGATATATGCCTTGAACATTAATAGTCATTAAAGACTATAAAGAGTAAAGCCACGCAGAAATACCAGATGTTTTCCTCCCTGACATTGTTGTTTAGACTTTGCCAACTTGGGACTCGTGACAAGACAGCTACACGATACGAACTTGCATTTATACAGTACCTTTCATATAAGAAAATGTCTCAGAGGGTTTCACAAAGATCATGTTAGACACTGAGCTACAGAGGATGGAGAGGGGAAGGTAACCATAGGTGCAGTCAAAAAGGTAAATTTTTAGGTAGGATTTACAGAGGTATAGAAAGTGAACAAATGGAGAGAGTTCCAGAGTTAGCATCATAGTTGTTGATTCACAATATTAACAAATTGGACGTCACAATTTTGTGAATATAACATAATAGGTGCTAATATTGCAATTCTGCTGCATAGTGTGCAGCTTTTTGTTTTATTTCCGTACATTTATCTTTACTCATTTTCCCTGTGGACTTTGTAACCACTACGAGGTACAATAATTCAAAGATTACACAACCAGAAATTCACAAAAGTACAAAACCTCTTCCATTCGCCTACAAAATCATAATAATTAATAATAATACTTACCATTCATATCATGCATCCATGTTTGGAAGATGTCTCAATGCATATCACAGGATGTACTGTAAAGTGGAATTACTGTGTGTTTTGTGAATGACGGCGGCTGCTATTTTTTGCACAGCAACGTCCCACAAACAGAAATACACAGTCACTACACTTTACAATAAGTCCCGTGAAGCACTTTGAGATATCTTTCTGACATGGAAGGCACTATATCAAATGCAAGGATTATCTGTAATATACAGCAGGCAGGCACGAGTTCAGTGGGGCTAATACGTGGATTTATTTTACTATACTGAGTAGAATAGAATATTTGTGCCGATTTTTTTAACAACATTTTCACAGAGTCATAGCTATGGGAATGTGAAAGTGTAAGCTCCTTGAAGACATGTATTTGGCAAGAAACCGGTAAGGGCAAAACATTTGGAACAAAACAGAAGTTCAATATCTAATTAAAGAGAACATAGACATGGTGCCAACTCATTCACAAGCTCAATATTTACTGCTCATTAGCTCCAGTAGCAATTAAAAATCTGCTAATGTGCTGACTGTCTAGCTTATCAATTGTTTGAAAAATACTATAACAATAGTGCACTTATATAGGGGAGTTTCTTCCAATGTTCTCTTAAACAACCCTTCAGATAAAATTGATCATTCACTTCTTGGCTGTTTGTGGGACATTGCCGTGCGCAAACTTCATTGCCAAGTTCACCTACAAAATACACAGTTACTACACTTTATATTACATCACAAGATCACAAGTTTAGTTTGGATGAAGAAGGCCCTTTGGCCCATTTTATTTAATCTCATACTTCCAGTGGAATGCTTTGAGATGTCCTGACTTGAAAGGCACTGCATCAAATACAAGGATTATTATTAGTTCACATAGGATTACGTCTTGGAGCACTTTACAGTGAACCCAAGCAAAGTGGGAGATGGGAAAGGTGGGGCAGGATTGGGGTGACCAAAGCTGTGTGTCAAAAGATTGATTTTTAGGAAGCATTTCATATAAGAACATAGGAAATGTTAAGCAAAAAAAACCAAGGTCCTTCCTGGCAGTCGCATGCACATATATCATGAACTACCTATGTACTACATCCCATACTGTTATTTCCTAAAAGAAATCTATCCAATCTGTGGTTGAAAGAATCAACATTTCCTGCTTTAACCGTCTCCTTAGGGAGCCTGTTCCACATGTTCACTATTCGCTCACTGAAATAGTGTTTGCATAGATTCGTTCTGAATTTACCCCCTTCAATCACAGGCCGTTTCCTCTGGTTTTACTATTCTGGACAAGTTGAAACAGCTGTCATGATCTATATTGTCTAGACCCTTTAGAATCTTAAAGACAGAAATCATGTTGCCTCTCAATCTTCTCTTTTCCAGCGTGAACATGCCCAATTCAGTTAGTCACTCCTCATAGTCCAGTCCTTCCATCCCCTCAATCATTTTGGTTGCCCTTCTCTGTATCTTCTCAATTTGTCCAATATCCTTTTTGTACTGTGGCGACCAGAACTGTATGCAGGACTCTAAGTATGATCTCACCAATGATTTATACAGTGGCAGGATTACTCCACTATTCGGCTGCTATTGATTTTTTGATTCATCCCAACATCTGGTTTGCTTCACTCACTGCCACAGAGCATCGTTGCGAGAGCTTCAATTTATTGTTAATCAGGACCACCAGATCCTTTTCATTTTTCATACATATTATTTTACTTCCATTCAAATAATAGTCCATTCCAGGATTTTTTGTCCCCATCTGAAGTACTTTATATTTCTCCATATTGAATTTCATCTGCCACCGATCTGCCCAATTCCCAAATATGTTCAAGCCCTCCTGTAATCTATCTTGTTCAGTTTCCCATTATTAACCTTCATTAGGATTTCTTTCCCATCCTTCGGATGAGATATTAAACTGAGGTCCAATCAATGGGGAATTAAATATTCACGAGCATCATCGAAATAGATGTTTCCAGCTATTGATATTTTTAAAATTGACTTGTACTCCTGCTCTTTCAACAATCTTTTCTCTATTACATGTACATGATGGTCCTGATTTAAAATCACTTTGAATACACCAAGATCTTTTATCTCTTTGTGAATTTAACAATAGACAGAGTAATGTACTCCAATAGCAGAGTGACATCAAGAAGAATATGAATTCTGAACAAAATGATAATAATAATCCTTGCATCTTCTAGGCGTCTCAAAGTGCAAAATGAAAACTTCTGAGCCAAAGCTTGTTTAGATTTTCCTTGAAACGGTCCAAGGGAGCTGTAAAAACAAAATTCTCATTTGTTTCTATCAGATTTAACAACCTGTATGTAAAGCTATTCCAGCAAAGTAATGGGGTCATGCTGCAAAGGAATGCTTCACACAGTCACTGGATAGTCTGTGGAAACGCTGTGTCTTCCAGATCTGTCATCTACCACACCGATAAGAACGAAAAAGGGAAAGAATTTCACAGCTTTTTACTTGATTCAACAATGATTACTTCACATTTTCAATATATATTGTGGTCTAAAATGCAGGGATTTGGAACGACTCACAAATGAAGAATCTTTCTAGTAACCGGAAGTGGGTCACACAGATAGGTGGGAACTCTGCTCCATGGTAATACCACAGCAGCTATAAAATAACAAGCATTAATATACACTATACCTGTAACAACAAATCCAGCATTCTGGAGTTGCTTCCTCAGCTGCTAGGCTGTTCTGGTGACGTATATCACTGGGAGCAGCTGAGCAAATGCTGTAGTGACTACATTTAATGTAATAGGAACAGGAGCTTTGAACTAATTTGGGTGATGAAGTGGAGCCACTTGATCTGTAAATGCAGTCCCCACCCTTGCCCTCCGTCTCCCCTTGAGCTATTTTGTTTGGCCAGCTAGGTGTTTGCGGGTCATTGCTGTGTCGTGATAGTGTACAAAATACACAGTCATTACACTTTACAATAAATCATGTGTTGTGCTTTGAGGAGTTATCCCAATGTGAAAGCCATTATATCAAATACAAGGATGATTTATTATTTCTAACTTAAAACTCCTTAGGTAGAGTTACACCCACTTTCAATTTGCTTGTGTCAGGAAACTAATTACATTGAGTTAGTTTCCCATGTTTTTTATCACCAGAAAACGATGGAGAGCTGTAGCTATGGGTAAACAGACAGGAAGCAGCGTGTTGAACACAAATGAGTGTTTGTTGAAG